GTTAACAGATCAGTTTATCAGACCTACGAGCAATAACATGGGAATGTAGCTCAGATGGTTTAGTGTTTAATGTTATGAGTTGTCCCGAGTATTGAAAGTTACGTTTTGCTATTGGAATGTATGAAAACTAAAAGGATAGAAGAATATTTTTAGCAGATTTAGAAATGGCTAGTATGTAAGCATATAGTTACAATTTTGGATTTCATGGATTGAGAATTTCATTCTCATTAAAGTAATATGTTAAGGAATTGATGGATGACATGCTACTGTATTGTAGAGACTAAGATTAAAGAATGTTCATTTTGGATATGAAGATAACTTTAACTCAGGTTATTCCATCACATTTTTTTTTTATTATAGATATTTGAAGATCTGGGAGGATTTGGAACCATATTCCATTATTGGGACCATGACGTTCTAGTTATGGGAAATAAGTTTGGTGTTCAAGATGATATTCATTAAAAAAGAGGGGAAAATAAAATCTTGGCGTTATATTTTATTTCCTTATTTGAGCAAAGAAATAGACATAGAATAAGAAATAGAGAGGCTGATACGTTCAAGTATCTTACTCTATTTTCCAACTTTCCCAATCATATTATGTGAGTGGATAAAACTTTATTTTCAGAAACAAGTATTCATTAAATTTCGAAGTTACTTATTTTATAAGGTTAAGTTGATAGCATGATTTTTAGAATAAAATTGATTTTATAATTAGTTCTTTTTAATGTTTGATTCAGTTCATTGAAATCATTTTAGTAGCATGTTCTATTCGTATTACATGTTTCAGTATAACTAAAGTTATTTCTATAAACCACCACAAAGTACCCAGATAATTTTACCCCAGTCTGCACTGGTGTGAGTATATTTCCACAATGTATGACTAGTTATGGTGATTTTACTTGTTCTGCACTATTGTGAATGTGTTTCCATAGTGTGTGACTAGATTATCAAATTATTAGAGGTCTTTTGGGACTCGTTCTCGTACACACACAGACTTTGGACCGTGTACTAGGGTTATTAGCCTTTGGGCAGCTCTGCGTACGTATGACCAGATTATCAGATTACCAGATTATTAGATTTGAATGGCCTTGCCTTGTACACCGAGATTACTCTGTGCATGAGTAAGGTTACTCATCGGGTACCTTTTTGATGTGATTTTTTTATACTATACAGTCTATCAGATTACAGACTACAGAATTTAGTTTATTCAGTTTAAAGAATAAAGCTTTCCAGCTTGATTTTTCAGCATTATACAGTTTATTAGATTTTAGAAACAAAATTTAGCTTATGCAGTTTAAAGAATAAAGATTTGTATGACTCTAGTATATTTTAGTTTTGATAGTATTATCAGATTTCAAATTACAGTATTTAGCTTATTCAGTTTAAAGAAAAAACATTTAGGGTGCGTTTGATTGCAAGTAGGAAAATTGCATGGAAAGAAAATATTTTCCAGGTAATTCAATTGCCTGGAAATTATTTACATGGAAAATGTTAATTACACGTGTTTGATTAACTTAAATTTCAACCTAGAAAATGTTGCAATTTTCCAACTTTTGGTGTTTGATAGCCATTATTTTCCATGGAAATAATACTTTTTTCCAACTTTATCTGTTTGACAACCACTATTTTCCATGAAAATTGACACTTTTTCCATGGAAAATAGTGGTTTTTTCCATGAAAATTTGTCCATCAATTTTTAGAAATATTAAACAATAGTGTCTTCATAAATAAATTAATATTGTATGCGCATTATGATTATGATTTTTTTGGAAAAGTCATATTTCGACAATAATATGATAGAAAATAATTTGATTATATCAAATTTAAAGAGCAAGCAAATCTTATCAAAGTTCAATCAGCCATGATTTCGAATTGGATTATTGTTCACGGCCAACTACATGAATATTCCATAGCCGCAACTTAATTTAATAAATTAATTAACAAACCTTAAACACCTAATTAAGCATCTATACTATTTTTTTAATCACGTAAATAAATTATATTGATCAAAATTGTGAGTACAACTACTTCGGGTATACTCGCGCATTCAAAGTAAAACGCCACAATGATCCAAAACAAGTATCGAAACATGAATCAATTTAAATAACATATAAATTTTGAAGTTGGTGAATCTTGAAATTTTTGTTCCAAATATAAAAAACACAACCTAAATTATTTAATATGAATAAGATTGATGCAGCTCAAAACCTTGAACACAAATCTAGAATCCACAAGAAAATGAAAAATAACTTTCTAACGATGTCAAGCCTTCAAGTGAGACGAAGGCAACTTGAAAAAGCAAACTGGCTGAAATTGAGGCTCCAAGCACGACAGCACCAATTTCAGAAGTTTACTACCATTTGGGCAATAAAAAACTGCACAAAAACAGTCAACAATGCTGCAATACACAGCTTCCACGAGCATTAAAACAAGCAGGCTTCTGGTGAGGTGCCTTCCTGGAGTTTAAAAAGACAGGCAGCTGGCCAAAAGGAAGCTTGAATCTGCTTCAGGTTATGAAGGGACTGCACCATAGTCTTCCAAGAAAAAAGGATTCCTTTACATCTAACACTTGAATCTGGACAGATTTTAACAAAATTTGCAATACAATATTTGAAATTACCTAGGAAAGGTGAAATCAAACAAGAGTCTATCAGCTCACAAATGCAAAAGGCAAACAAGAATTAATGCCAACATCAATTACTTGAAATAAGTTAACAACAGAAACAGACACCAAGTTTTGAATATTGTATGCTTGGAAGTCGTATGTACCTGGTCCTAATGGGAAGACCGATCAGTGAACTCACCCGTTCACATCTCTCCCATTTCGCTGATCAAAAAACATTAATTATGACTACCTTAACTAGTACTTCTTAACCATATGCAGTAATGTGCTTCACATCATTGCTTTCTGATTATCAGACAAAGTAAAATAAAACGGAAATAGAAGGAAAGAAATGTAAGCCAAAAACCATTCCTGTGGAAACATCAAAATTTAGGGCCATATTCAAGAAATGGTTGAGACTTTAATTATTCATGAGGTCCCATACAAATCACGCACAATTAATAATAATAGATATGTTCCTATGATAGTAAAGACCAACAGGAAAAAGAACAAAAAGAGTTACAAGCTCATATTTTGTCATCATTTTTCTTAGCAGATAGTAGCTGCGTTGAGCCACATTGGAGCCTGTAGATCTGTGAGTTGAGTCACATAGTATCATTTCTTGTATGTCGCATCTTGTCAGTTAATACATCACATATTTCTGGGATTGATGCATCTTTTATCAAAAATTGTATTTATATTATGAGCTCACTGCATATTTTTATATACGTTTTACAAAAGGAGTTGTCTAAATGTAAAAGAATATAATTTTCTTTCGAATGCACTTATTTTGAATAGTTGGTATTTCGAGGGGTTGGTGTACCTTGTTTTATATTATATACATAGATTTGAAAAAAAAAATGATTTTTACTCAAGTGGTTTTGTCCATACTTCAAAGAAAATTCTGTCAAAATTCTTCTAAAAATATTTTTTTAGTCAAGCAAGTCGAAGTTGCTTTGGTGATGAGTCCAGCATTTAGCTGGTATCTACCATCGACGCGCAATAAGGGTCCAATCCATTAAGGTGATTCAGGATGGGTTGTGTCACGTGCTGTCATTAAAACTAGCATATTAGGACCGAAATTGAATTGAGCACTTCCAATTACGATAAGGAAAAATTTCAAGAAAGACTTTAGCTTACTAATAAGCAAACTACAAAGCAAAGCTAAAAGTAACTATACTAATGAAGGTGGGGGTGTTGCTCTTTTGTATGCATCAAAAGAACTGGCCAAGTTGCCGACCGCCAACTTTGATCAGAAGATTGGTTTTCAAATTATACAGAACGCACTGAAGGTCTGAACTTTTATTTGAGTTTTATGATTACCAGTATGGACCCAAGCTAATCTAGAGAGGAACTCTTCCTTGTTCAAATTGGGAGTTCAGTCACTTTTTTGTTTGTTCTCCAAATTTATTTATATCAGGCCTCTGTTGTTGACTCCTATTTGCAGACACCGGTATATACAATTGCCTCAAACGCTAGAGTCGAGGGTGCTGTTGTCGTTGGCAGGTTGTTACCCGATCTTGGATATGATGCTGCTAAAGGTTTGATCAATATCTACACCTGTGTACATTTCACCAAGTCACCGGAATTTTTTTTTATTTTCTTTGTTCAAACGTTTATACGTCCATTTTACTTGTGCGAACAGGCAACTATGTGGATGTGGTCAAGGCAGGAATCTGCCAGAGAAGTCGAGATGGCCCATTTTCCTTCCAGAGCAATAACTCTTTTCTTTCTCTGTTTTTAATATGCCTAATGTACAAACTGATTTGTTGGATTTTTATCAAATGACTACCACAGAAGCCATTGCGGTCGAACAACCAAAGGATGAGAAGCTGGCACCTGCAATGGGTTGTGGAACGGGTGAATGGACTACTTAAAAGTGTAGATGGCGAATAATCCAGAGTGTAAGTCTGGTATTTTGCGATGGGAGCTATGGCATTCTTTATGATCTCTTGATTGAGTAGGATTAGGAATCTGCAATATTTTCAAGATAGGGATGGCACTCTTGGTACTTGATGAATCGTCTTTCCTGTATGATTCAAATTATAATTGCATCTGATATTCGACTTGTCTTGATTCTTCATTGGAACATTGGAATGTTAGTTCTGTCTAGTTTGTTTTGACACAATGATATTGAAGTCGACTTCTACATACAAATCCCATACTTGACTTGGGGGCATAACTACCTCCTTGTTTGTCTATCATTCTTCAAAAACCCCTTTTCTCAAATTCATTTCAACCACACATTATCATAATAAAATATTTTGAACGTAAACTCAAAATTTCTCACTTTTTAACTACACATTTTCCAAAAACTATTCCACAACTCATTTTCCCCCAAAAATTCTTTTTAATGAGAGTCAAATAGAGGCTACATAGTTTCAATACACCCGAAAGGTGAAAATATACACGCCAATCCTGTAATATCAACAAATTTTGCTGCAATTTCAGAGTAATTCGTAAATAAATTGTGCCTGATAATATACAGTCTGTGTAAAATATACAAATGTTCACACGCGTCCATAGATTAAAAATACTTGCACAAAGATACTATTTGCATCTTGTAAATCCAATCCTAAGAGCAGGCATAAATTTACCACGAAAATGAAGATGCATATAGTTTCTAATTTTCAATTATATCCACACCTGAACTCAGCAATGTAGGACCGTAGAGAAAAGCACGTAGAGCGGAATCCATCATCTACCTTTCTTACGCTTTCGCTTCCCAGCACAATCTGAGCAGTACCATTTGCCCTTGGGTTGTTCTTTCAGACCAACACAGCCATAGTGGAACCATTCTATCTTACACTATTGGAAAAAACGGTTGATTCTTTTAGATTAAGGTAAAGCTCAACAAAGGAAAAGAGAATAAATAATCATAGAACTTATTTACGTACATCAGGATTATCACAAGCAACCATTTCTCCATAGCTCACTTGGTTGCAGAAACAATATGTTGGTTCATTGGGATCAACTGGTAGATCTAGCTCCATACTAGTTGTATTCGCTGTTGGTGTTGCCACTGTAGCTGTAGCAAGACGAGTCCTGTAAAATATATATTTTTTACTTTAATTCAAATCCATTCTCATTTACCACCAATTTTGGATAATAACTTTCAAAACAAGAACAGAGAGAGGATCTTTGAACACATGACCAATCATCGCTCGAAAAATCATCGAATATTCCGGTAAGACAGAAACAAAGAAGAAATGCTGGAACAGAATGATAGCATATAATTTAGTGTAAGGGTGGTGTCCTTGCGTCCTAGAATATAACCAGTTCCTCTACTGGTATAATATTAAGTCTGTAAAAATAATACAAAAAAATTAATGTTCAGAAGTTGCAAACAGTCTATAAAAGTTTTTATTTTTGTCCTCTTTAACTTGCCTGTCATACATGTTCTTTTTATATTTATTTATTACTAATTCAATCCTTTTTCCTGGGTATGTCTTCTTTTTACCAATCTTGTACTAGAAAGGCCAAAGGAAACTTGTACTAAACAAATTTCGTTTTTAAACCATGCGATCGGTTGAAGTCTTTCTCCTTTTGATGAAGAATATAAAGATGGTCAAGAAAGTTACTTTTTACGTCCTCTGTTGCTACTCTCACCAGCCTTTCCAGCTTTCATTATATGATCGGGAGCTGTGGAAGCTGATCCAGTTGCTGCCACATTTTCTCTTTCTGCATAATATGAAATTGACAGAAAACATAATGAGGTCCCAATGCCTAGCAAACAACATCTTCTCAATAGAATAAAAAAGATGCTGCAATCAAATGATACACACCTCGCCGCTGATCTTCATCAATTTTTTTCAGATATTGATCAAGCTGCTGAATATGAGAATCTACCTGTTGCAGGGAAAAAAAACATTGATACACCAAGTAATTGAATATTACTTCCAATTAAGTCAAGCATGGATGATAGAGAAATCTTAAACAGATGAGTAACCTACTCAATTACATGGATGTACCAAGACGTGGAGAGGAGATTCATGCCGTGACACAAATAACTTGTACAATCATATCAAGGTATTAAAAACTGGTTCTGGACCATTTACATGGAGCACAAACTCAACACTTGGGACACGTTCCCAAGCAGGAGTGGACCGAGGTAGAGACATTTGGAAGTCATGGTATATCCTATACTTGGAAAAGTTCTTTCCCACCCACAACTTTTAGTACCCATTTACTGAAGCCCCATAAAACATATAGATCCCTCCTATCCCCCCATGTTAAAAGAGTTTCCAGAAAAACCATACGATATCTATTTGTACCTCCATTGCCACATCAAGAAACAAAACCTACAAACATACTCTTTTTGGGTCCGCTCTTACCTGAGTGAATATGAGATAGGTCAAATTAGGAGTCGGTTATTCAATTAAAATGCCACTCAAAGCAAATGACTCCCTATCACATTAGAAGCAATGAGCCATGTCTTTTCCTTTAAAAAACACAAGTTCTGTTGGAGGAGATGAGGTGAATTAAGCAAAGGAAATACTCACAACAAGCTCAGCATTATTCTATATAGACTTCAGTAAACTACATATCTTGTCATCGCTACCACATTTGATCCAATACTGCACCTTCTGAAAGTAAATAAATTTAAATATTTTCTAGGAAATATAAGCTCATTCAGAGAAACTTTATGTTCCAATTTGGCAATTAGACAGCTCTTAATTATTCACCTCCAAACATATTCTTTTAAGGGACTGTAGTTGAACAGTGATTGTGTAATTTCTGGAAGATCTGTAGACCGTTATTGACGGTATTTCCAGGATACATTTGTGTAAGTCACATCTTTTTTATATCAAGTTATTGTAACTACATTCAGTCAGTATTTTATTTAGTTTCAAGAAAATCAGAATTTCACTAGGATTAGGACTCTTAGGTGAAGTTAAAGCATTATAGTGCATCTAATTCATAATATGTGCATCGCAAACTAGATATGGTGCTAAGAGTTTCTTCTTCTTCTCCCCTTTCTTCCTTCTGATAATTTTTAGCACTTTAAATCTTTTCATCAGAAGCTTAAATGTCCGCTACCCTTTATCGCTCATATTTGCACTCCACACATTGATCAATCAAAGAGAGATTCAACAACTAAAAGAAAGATCTATTCTTTGGGATCCTTCCTTTTATTTTAGTTGTTGAACCTCTCTTTGATTGAACCGGGGAATCTTTAGAATTCTCACTGCTTAACTTTCAATTCACCTTGACTATCAAATGAAACGTGAAAAAAAAACTTACAAGAGATACAAGAGCCACAAACTTCCAAGACAATTGTTCAAATCATAACTATTCTATTAATTGTAAAAGCTGTGGTAGATGTTCAAAAGTGGGGAGTTAACTTTTCTACAGAGTCAAACATCTGCATGATAAAAATTAACAGATAAAGGTTCACTGCAGAGCAATAAAATTAATATGTTTACCATCAAGGGGAAAAGGTCCAACAAATAACCTTTCCACCCGTTTCCTCCTCTAATCATTGAAATGAGCCATAGTGTAAACATGAAGATCAAGATAATAAAAAGTGGTAAGGACCAAAACCACATCATACCAAAAGGTTAGAGCACAATATCATTGAATGAACAAAATTAAGTTTCTAATTTATTGGGAAATATAACGAAAACAAAAAGCAGAAAAACACATTCATTCTTATTATTATAAGAAGGGCTTTCTTTGTACCAAATCATAGGCCTGACTAGCCAATGCAACTTTCTCGTCAGCAATCCTGATGGCATGTTTCTGCTCATCCAGAGCATCATCCGAGAATTTTAGAAGCGAACAATTTGGCGTAATGTTACCAGACTTAATACCACGCTTCATATCATCTATTTCCTGTTCACAGCGTTGCTCATTTTGTCGCTGGATTTCTGTACATATACATAGTGAAACAGATACTTAAAATTGATACAGGGAAGTAGAAACTTAATATAGTGATGTGCTGTCAAATTACTTTTAAATGGTGGCACACTAAGCACCAAATCAAGCATCATCGTAGATATATGAACAAACACATATATACAGAGGAGTTGTTTATATCAATATCCCATTAACTGTTTTTTAACTGAGAAATTGTTTCCACCGTAGCTTTATATAAATTGGGAAGGGTCAGAAATATTTTCCCATAAAAACATGCAAAATGTAAGGTTAAAGAAAGATATAACATCAAGGATCACACAAACAAAGAAGAAAGTGTTACTTAGAAGATTAAGCCCTTGCTAAGGTACCATTAATTTGATAATACATTTTTTTCTCTCTTCTTTTCAACCAAACATTCTCCAATAAAATAATATTACACGTAAAACAAAAACTTTTCCTTCTTTTTTTATAAACACACATTCTTAAAAAATCACTAATACATAAAACATTTTTCTCAAAACTCTAATTATAATGGAGCTCAAACAGGGGCTAAAAATGCAATTGAACATCTTTCTTGAGTATTTTATGAGCTCAATATATATATATATATATATAGCGTAGCAAATGTGCTATAATCCAATATGGTGAACCAAACATGTTATAGGTGTTTCCATAAGAAAAAAAATCCAATAATTATAATTTAAATTCAGAACTTGTGGTTCACTATTAAAATATTTAACACATTCCAATAAATGATAGACACGTAACTAAAGTGCATTGACATAAGAGAGCAGACCAACTGAAATGGTAATTTTGAATGACTTCTTTTCTGAGCTATATATCCTACATCAAGCAAAGCCATTATAAGTTTTGAAAACAATTCTAAAAAAAGAAACAGCAACATGAACTCTTAACACTATTTTTACCACTTAATTGTTAAATACATACCTTGTAAACTTTTATCCAAATCGTGCAACAATGAGTATTTCCTTTGCAAGGTATTTGGCAGCGCTTCCAAATCTTAAATAAATCAATAAATAAAACTTCAATGACTCTTCAATCATGAATACAAGAAATCCACGCCATTAATTATACAGAAAATTATACAAAAAAACACAAATTCTCAAAAGCAGAAATGAAACATGAAATGGAATCTTAATTTCTCCCAATTAAACATCTCAAACAACGAAACAAAAATAAATAAATAAATAAAATCAGAAGCATCAATTTTTTTCGGTCCAATTATCAATTCAAGTATCCAGGGAACCAAAACTATAATTAATTTAATAAAAAGTTAAGAATCCATATTCATTTGTCACATTTTGATAATCTAGGGTTTCGACGCAAACACATAATACTACGAGGTGTAACCATATGAAAATCAAGGTAGAAAGAAAAGCTGTACTTACTGGACTGAAATTCATCGATGAAAGACATACTTTACAGGAGAAAACTTGCAAATTTCGAATGAAAATTAAACAAATCTCCCTCCCAAGGATGGAAAAAACTAAAAGCTGTGCGTGGTAGTTATATTATCCAGTTTTTCAAAAGAATAAAATTCAAAATTTTTATTTATATTTTTTGTACGATATTTTTTTTACTCATAAATAATATTTTACTTACAAGTCATTTTTTATGTATAAGTCATTTTTATAAGTAAATTTTTTAATATATAGCTCATTTTTTATATATTTAATTTTAAGTTATCATTTTTTATTTATAAATAAATTTTACAATTACAAGTTAATTATGTACTATAAAATAATTTTTACTATATGCGAATCTTTACTTATAAGCACATTTTTTATATTTTACAAGTGAATTTTTGTCTAGTATTTTTATTTTATAAATAAACTTTTACAAAAAAGTGGTTTTATTATATAAGTAATTTTTTATTATGAAGGTTTTTT